TCTCCTCCCACAACAATATTCTGCTCTCATCTTAGTAGTCAGATCTTAAACTGGTGGCCCTGTCAGGTGTAAGGGAGGTTATGAACTATGGTTTTTCTCTGGAAATATTGATGTCTTCAGTCTTTGAGGTATTCTATTAGTTGATCAGGAGTGGAAAGTAGATATCTGAAAAACCATATGAAGAATTGACTTTGACAATTATTTAAAATTTGTTGAATGTTCCTTTGCATCCTAATGTGCGGTCATATTTGTAAATGTTCTATGCCACTTGAGAATAATGTACATTTGAACTATCTGTTGGTTCTGGCTTCACTCCATGCACATCTTTATCAAGCACAACTTTGTTGTTTAAATTCGGGTTCATAGTAATTTATTTCCTCCATCAAATTTGTATAGAAACATGTTAAATTCTCACACATGGTTGTATATTTGCCAATTCCTCCTTATTTTGTTCCTTTACTTTAAATATTCTGAGGCTATTAATGACTTTATAACTTCTTAGTGGATTTCTTTTATCATTATACAGCATTCTGCTTTATCCTTATTAATGCTTTTGCCTCAAAATCTCTTTTGCCAAGTGCTAATGTTGTTATACAAACTTTTTTGCTTTTTTCATATTTTTCACTCTATGTTAAGCCATCTTGTGCAGCTTTGTTTTATGTCTCTTGTAACAGCTCTTAGCTTTTGCAGTTTTATCTGATAATCTTAGCTTTTTAATGATTTTTTATTCGTTTTCATTTATTGTGATTCCAGATATATATGGACCTATATCTTCTGTGGTAGTGTTGACCATTCTTAGTTTGTGTTTTTTGTGTCTCTTTCCTGCTTTCTGATGGATTGATATAACATTCTATATTCTCCCTTTTCTCCCTGCTGGTTTGGAAATTAAAGACAAAACTTCTGTAATCTTATTAATCATGCCCCAATCACCAAAGATGACAAGGATCTTGTAATGGTTTCACTACAAATTTAATACCTTATCTCTACCATTTGCCTATTGTTGTTTAATATTTAATGTTTAACTATAAATTTTGAAACTATTATTTTTGCAGTTGATATTTACTTAAATCAATTTTTAAAAATCATTTTACACACTCACCATTGTTCTTTTTCTTTGGTTTCACTTTTTGTCTAGCTGAAGTAAATTATTTATTTTTTCCAGTGAGTGATCTCTAAGTGGTAAATTCGCTAAGTGTTGTATGTACAAATTTGTCTTTTTTTTTTGATAGAAATGTTTAGCTAGGTTGAAAATTCTGGGTTGATATTTATGTATTCTCACTATAGTAAAGTGGTCACTACATTGTCTTCTGGAATCTATAGTATGGCTAATAAAAAGTCATTCTTTTGTCGTAACTGTAACTTCTTGTTTAATATTCTGCCCTTTCTCTCTAAAAGCTTTTTTCCCCAATATTTAATCATGAAAATTTTAAGCATGCAGAAGACTTGGGAGAATTGTATACTAAACATCAATATACTTTCATGTAGATTCACAATTAACATTGTATCATTCCTGCTTTATCACTTTTCTATCTGTATTAGTCCATTTTCACACTGCTAATAAAGACATACCCAAGACTGGGTAATTTATAAGGAAAAATAAAGGAAGTTTAATGGACTCACAGTTCCATGTGACTGGGGAGGCTTCACAATCATGGCGGAAGGTGAAAGGCACATCTTACATGGCAGCAGGCAAAGAGAGAGTGAAAACCAAGTGAAAGGGGTTTCCTTTATAAAACCATCAGATCTTGTGAGACTTGTTCACTACCATGAGAACAGTATGGGGGAAATCACCCCCATGATTCAATTATCTCCCACTAGGTCCCACCCACAACACGTGGGAATTATGGGAGCTACAATTCAAGATGAGATCTGGGTGGGGACACAGACAAACCGTATCACTATCCATATATACATTTTTTTATCCACTCCATAACCCATGGTCAAGTTTGAAACATTTCAAGGTTGCAGACATCTGCACCCTTCCCCCTCAAATACTTCTGCCTGCATATCATTAACTAAAGTTCTTTTATAAGATAAAATTTACAATGAAATGCACAAGTATGAAGAGTACCATTTGATGAGTTCTTATAACCACATTTTTCTGCACCATCAAAATGTTTACCAAGATACAGAACATGATCATCACCATGGAAAGGTTCCTCATGTCCCTTCTGTTATATCTCTACCGGCTACCCATCAGGGCAATCACTACTCTTTGTTTTTCCGTGATAACTTAATTTGGGTTTTTTTAAAAACTTTATATAAATAAGGTTTTACAGCATGTTCTCTCTATTGTGAGATTTATTTCACTCAGCATGTTTTTGAGATTCATCTGTATCATTGGATGTATCAGTAATTTGTTCCTTTTCATTGCTAAGTAGTGTCCATTGTCTGAATATATTGAATTTTGTTTATAATTCTCCTGATGATCGTCACCTCGAGTATTTTTGGTTTTTTGCTATTATAAAAACTCTCCTCAGCACATTCTTGTAGAAGTCTTTCTGTTTTTTCATATCTCTTATCTAAATACCTAGGAGCAAAATTGCTGGGATATAGAGTAGAAGTATCAGTTCTTTCCCCTCAGGACCCATGAAAAGGATGGTGCAGGTGGATGCTGCACTCACAGGTGTGTGCTGCAGTGGAGGAATGCTTCACTGAGGAAACCCATGGGGTTTGCTAGCTCGGGGACCGCTAGCAAACCTGCCCAAACCTTACCTCTGAGGGAGATATTATCTTTTTAGCTGGGATTTAAGCAACTCTCCTCTGGGGATATCTCCTCTGGAAAATTTCTAAGGAGGGAGATGTTCTCCACTTTATACTGGTCAGGGAATAAATTTGCCCTATAATCTGGAGGCTACATGATCTCTAGCTTCCAAGGCTGCTTGCTATTCTAACATCCTTGAAGTTATACCCTGACACCATGAGTACAGAAATGCCAATGAGAATAGCTTCTCAACAAATTCTTCCCACATTTTTGCTTCTGGTAAATTTCCTCATGCAGACACTGCCCCATCAGCCACTTTAATTAATTTGACCCATGGGTCCGGATACATTTGATTTGCTAAATGTTGTAGGAGCAAATTGCAAATGTAGGTGCACTGGCTCACTCGTGTTATCTCAGCACTTTGGGACACCAAGGCAGAAGGATCACTTGAGGCCAGGAGTCCAAAAACAAGCAAAACAACCAAAAACAAGCCTGGGCAAGATAGTGGAACTCTGTCTCTACACACACACACACACACACACACACACACACACACACTTCATAAACAGTGAATGTTTTAGGTCTTTAGGTCTCTTATGACCAGCTGACCACCTCTAAGGTACAAGTCACCTTACGTGAGGGAAGCAAGTTAATGCCTGGCTTCCATACAAGAAGCACAGTCCCCAGAGCACACAAGGTGCTCGAAGAAGGGAAGCGTTTACAATTGTTGAGTTTCCCTGAGTGGGATGTACATTTGTCAGGGGGAAGGTAAACAGTGCCTCCTACGTGACTCCTGGATGACTGTAAGCCTTGGGGATCCCAGTTCTGTTCGTTGTGTCCAGTCCTTGATTTGTTTGTGTGTGGGGGGCAGGGAGAGGGTGGGCATGTGGGGGTACTGTTTGAGGACAGTTTTTCCAATCTATCCTTTTTGTCCATGACACCAACCAGGTAACAGTCGCCCCCCGACCCGCCGCAACAAATGACTGAAAACAAGGGTAGGGACAATGTCTGGAGGATTCTATGTTGGACCTCAGAACCTGGGCCCAGCCTCTGCTGTCTCATGACTGGTGCGGAGAGGCTGACTCAGCATTCTCAGAGGCGGGAGCACTGGAGCAGGGGTTTTCCTTCTGGACAAAGGATTCAGGGTAGTTCTGAAAGGCAGATATCACCAATGCTCCTGCTTCCTCCCTGCCTCCTGGGGTTGCAGGTGTTCCTGCCTTAGATGTCGGGATTTTTGCTCTTGCTTCACTGCTGCAAAATTCCTCTGTACCATTCAGGTGGCTGCACCTTCATCTTTCTCCCCTAATCATCTCCTTTTCTCACGTAGACCTTCCATCCACAAAATCAGATACAAGTAGAGCAAAAGCATTTTCATTAGCTGTGTCTGGAGTGAAATCTGAATCCCCTGGGCACTCAGAAGGCTGTGCCCACCAGGCCTCTAGGGAAAAGAATGAGGCGTCATCCCTAGGAATGGTCACAACAGAATCCTGAATCTTCAAGATAGGTCTACAGAACACTTGCAATACCCCACACTTTTGTCCTGGTCACTGTCCAGGAAGGAGATGATCCCTTTCTGGGGGCTGCTTCCTTCAGTGAACCTCCCATGGTGTGTGGACAGGAGGAGATGAGGGACAGTCAGAAAGTCAGTGCACTGTGGAGTCACTTTTCTGATAAAGGGCACATCAGACTGCAAATGGTCCAGACAGCCAGATTCATGACACTAATGAGTTTCTGGGATCACAATAGCGTTCCTGGAGTCAGTTGTTCTGCAGCCTGAAGGAGGGCTGACAGTGTGGAGGCACTGCTGAGATTATTTAATGAAGTTGTATGGGGATTCTATAATGATTATGTAATTACATAATGAAAACTCACTACATCAGAGGTCACAATATCTCCCAACTTCCAATACAGAATATTATCTATAACATCATCAGCTTCAAGGAGGATGCCTTCTCATTGCACATTTGCGTTTACTCAACAAACACTTGAAAAAGGAATATGGAACAGCAGTTATCATTCACTCTAAGGTGCCAGCAAGAGTTAATTTTCCATAAAATTTTGTTTCAAAGGAAGGTCATCTCCTACAGTCTCCCAAGCCTATGATCCACAAGGCTCATGCAGAATTAAAATAGAACTCTGTACTCAACCTCCACACTACTACACAGATTTTAAAGAATTTTGCCTCATTCCTGTGGACCAAAGTATGAAAAAAAATCTTGTATACTGCTAGCATATAAAGCTCAGAGAATTATGTTTATACCTTTGCATAATTAAATTTATTCTCTTTTATTTGAAGAAAAAAAGAAGGGGCATTCCTGGACCAGAATAAAAAGCGGAACGCAGAAAAAAATCCAACAACATGGTAAGCAGGCAAAGTGAGGTCGTTACAGCTTTTGAGTTTATTAGGGCACTGCCCATTGTATTCTTGAAGGCCTGCAGTTCCCGAGGGCCTGGAGAGTTCTGTACCTCCTGTATCATTTAGGGTGTAGACTAACAGGCTGTGACAAGAGGCCTGAGAATGCAATGGCTTCAACAATATGGTTTCTCATGCATGTAATAGTCCAGAGGCCCACAGTTAATAGGGAGGTCTTATCATCCTCAGCATGGCTTTTTTTAGTAGCTCAAGAAATTTTTATTAATCTGGAAAAATGTCCTTAAGAGGGCTAAATGAAGAAAGCAAGGTGTATGTGTATGTGTGTGCACCTGTAAAATATATATATACATATATATGCAACCATATTTTATGTGAAATTTGTACTTGTGAAAGTGTGTTTTTATGTATCTATCAATCCTTACATAGATATATGTAATTATTTATCTGTGTGTATAAAGAGATATAAAGCTATAGAAAAATCAATGGCAGTTCATTTATAAAGATATATGCAGTGGTTACATTTAGTCAGTATAATAGAGGTGATGTTTATATTTTTATTTGTGGTATTTAAATGTACCAGTGTGTATTAAAATTTTTAAAATATTCAAACTTTATAATGAAAAAGCGTTCTTTAAAGGTAACATATGCCAAAAGAAAAACCTAAGGGAATATTTTTGAACAAATCACCATCTGGAGATAGCTATCCTCATCTGTGGCTATCTCCAGATGATGATGTTTTAGACCATTTTATTTTCTGAATTTTCCATAATTATATATATTATTTATTTTAGTCATGGTCTTAGGATTTCCTTCCTCCTAGTCAATGAAGGCTAAGTCTTATTTTCCAAATGATGCTCAGTTTTGAATCAGTGGATCTATATAGTAAGATTTTAGAGTCCTGTTGAAAATTGTTCATTTTCACCAATCTATATATCTTCTGTTCTGTTCTTGCCAGTTTAAGTGTCTGCCCGGTTTGTGGATGTACATTTTTGTTTGGAAAGAAAAACAAGTGGTTGCATTTATTTTAAGAATGGGTGTTTTTAGCCGGGCACGGTGGCTCACGCCTGTAACCCCAGCACTTCGGGAGGCTGAGGTGGATGGATCACTTGAGGTTGGAGTTCGAGACCAGCCTGGTCAACATGGTGAAACTCCGTCTCTACTAAAAATACAAAAATTTGCTGGATGTGGTGGCGGGCACCTGTAATCCCAGTTACTTGGGAGGCTGAGGCATGAGAATCACTTGAACCTGAAAGGCAGAGGTTGCAGTGAGTCAAAATTGTGCCACTGCACTCCAGTCTGGGAGACAGAGAAAGACTGTCTCTAAAAAACAAAACAAACAAACAAACAAAAAACAAGAATGAATGTTTTCAAATTAAAAAATTATTTGGACTGAGTCATTATAACATTTTCATTTAAGTCTCTGTGTATTATCCTAACAAATTCTAAGAGACTTCAATCTACAATTAAATCCTGTGTGTAATTTAGAAGTCGACACTCCCAAAAGCAGAAGATGCTCTGGACACCTGCTTGAGGTTCCTTGTCTGAGTGTCTGAAGAAACCCAGAACTCCCTCACTTGAGTTTGGTCCAGCCTGACAGCTGTTGTTCTGCCCAGTTCTATTAATACATTTTCCCCTGCCTATCCCCAGATAACAGCAAACCCGGTGGCCAGCTGGTCCCTAATGAAGAGAAGGCAAAAGTGAATCTGCAAGGCCTTTCCAAGATCAGCGGTAAGATAAAGTTTGTACCACTTTTCATTTGCCCTTCAGGTCAATGCAAATGTTGTTGAGGTTTTGAGGAGCCTAGAATCTTTATTGTTTACTAGTCAAACTTAGTCAATTTCAGAGCTGTGAAATCTAAAAAAAAAAAAGCAAACCCATTAGAAGCCAGGGTTGTAAGTTGATTGTATTCATATCATAGATCTTATCTCTCTAGGTTCTAAAGTTGTTTTCCTCTGTGTTTTATCTGATTTTCCTGGAAATTCCTTTGACTTAAATCATTCGCTAATGAAAAAGGCTAGACCTGGTAAATTGTAAGCAGAATACAGGTTTATTCTCTCACTGCCCTTTCAAGTCCTCTTCCTAGATGAGTTATTTCCTGTCCTGAGCAACCCCTATCACTTTCCTACTTCCTTTTCACAACAATAAGAGTCTCCTTTCAGTAGCTGAGAGTCTTTCTGACCAAGTATTAAAACTCCAATGTCCTCCCCAGTTTAAAGCATTTAAAGCACCTTCCCTCCTTTAGCCTGGGCAAGCCTTAGTCTGGAACACATACAGTTGGGGGTGACATAGTCAGTGTCTTCTCTTATTCTCTCTTGGCCCTATCCCCACTCCATAGCTGTTGGCTTGGTCCCATCCAGGACTGGGGAGGTGAGAGAGAGGGGTGAGATCAGAGTGTGGAGGTGTCTTGCCTGACAGGTGCAGCCGTGAAATGACATTACAAGTGGTTGATGCGCAATCACTAGCTCTTTCTTCCACGAGATGCTTTCATCAACTCTCCTGCAAGGGAAGGGGAGGGGTCAGGCATCACAGCTTGACTTGTTTTGAAAGAAATAGAGGTTTACTTCTACAACCTGGATGTGAGTGAAGGGCTGAACCTAGCATCATCAGTTCCACCAACTCTTTCTATGGTCGCATAGGTGGACTGGTGCATTGTCTTAGGATGTGGGTGCTTGAAACTTGGGTGATCAACTCAGCCTACTTGCTTGGGACTTTCCTAGTTTTGCCAGTGAAACTCTCATGTCCTGGGCACCCCCTTTGTCCTGGACAGACCGGGACAATTGGTCATTCTACTTGGTACTTACTGGATTGTTCCCAACCGTTGGGACTTGAAGTGAAATTTTGAGAAAGCAGGAGGAAATTGAAAACTCTGTCACGCTTCTTTCTAGAGGCTAATTAACACCAACCGTAACAATTATTTTAAAATAACTTTAAATTATATTCTGGCCACCATAGTATTTATTAGGGCTTGTGATAGGGTTTCAGTGTTGTGAAATGGGTATTACAGCCATTTAACACAATAATATTTGACACAATAATATTTGAATCCTGCCTTGTTCAGTCACTCGATTCTGAGAGTAAAACACAGTAGTGCTGTATTATGAATTTGCTGTATTTAAGCTCCAGATTGTTCTGTACCAAAAGCTCCATAGACTAGAGTAGACTTCATGGTGTTTCCTTTTTCTCCCTAAAAATATGAGGCCTCAACAAATGTAATGAAAGCTAAATCTGACACACCCACTAGTCCCAGAAAAGATGTAACCAGACAGAAACAGATAGAGAGAAAGGAAGAAATAACTCTGTATTAGCTGGACTGTCCAAGGTTGTGGCCAGAGCTCTAGTGCCAAGACTGACTGGAGTATAGGAGGGAAAAGAGCAGCAAGAGTATAACATCTGGATCTATTCTCACTGTACGGTGAGCGGGGACCCTCAGAGAAGAGGGAGAGATGAAGCAGTGAAGAGGAGAGACCTGGAGATGTCCTGGCCTTCCAGAGTCCCCTTGGCATCTTTCGTGGGAGAAGAGGGGAGGAGAGCTTCTCAGAGAGCCACACCTGTGTGGCTGATGTTCTATTGCCTGGAAACCTCATCTTCCAGAGGCAGGCAGCAAGATGGAGCAAAAAGATTAATATGCCTCATGGAGAACCACATTTCCACCTCTTTAGTACTTTTTCTTAGCCCTTGGCTGTTACTATAGAAGCCTCATACCTCCCTATACAAGTTTATTAAACTCTCCTAAAGCTCTTCTTTGAGCACCTATTATCTTGGTTAAATATTAACAGGATGACAACTTGTAAATATGAAACTTGTTTGATCTTGGGATAAGATGTCCGTAATTATCAGTATTGGTCCCTTGGGCCATTTGGGTCTTAAATGGGTAAAAACCTGATCAGTAAGTGTGTAGTCTAAAGACCAGAAAGTGGAATCATATTACTAAGCCATAGGTCCACTTTGGGTCTGATTGGTCTTTTCCACTTTGCTGGCCTAATATGCTCATAATATGCTTAGAGTTTAGAGTACTTAGGAATAAGTAGGTTGGAAAATATTTCTCCATGGGGTCTACATGACCCTGACCAGCACCCCCAGATGGTGGTCATTGGATGGTGGACATTCAGCACAAGAAGGAAGAAACATTTTGCTTTCCTGCCTTGGAAAATAAAACACATTTGAACGATAGTAAACCTTGAGAGGCCCACCCACAGCCAATTAACGTGCACACGGGAGAACCTCATCGGCCGCAGCGTCTGCCATGTCAATCCTTAATTACCATTTGGAATGAAGGCTGTGGAAGTCTCAATTCTACCCATTCCTCATGGTTAACTTTCTTCTGATTAGTTTCTTAGATTCTAATATTTCTTTTTTCCAAAGCCATGTGGACAAAGCCCTGGTCACATTTACTATTACTTTCAGCACAAAGGTACGAATATCTTCCCTCCATGTGATATGTGCAGCATACATCTCACCTATGGAACACCTAATAGGGTTTCCCTTAATTCACAGAACTGTCATTCATTTTTGTCTCTGCTAAGAGAAACCCAAATGCCTTCACTTAATTTTGTAGTTTTGTCTCAATTTTCTCTGAATATTTTAGTCTCTGTAATGACAGTAATCATTATTTTGATCTTGCAAAGATTAAATAAATTAGTGGATGTGTAAGTGTTTAACATGTATTATATGCCATATATATTTTTCAAAGATATATATTTGAAATGAAATATGAAAAGAACCTTCAAAATATGAAATGAACCTTCAAAACATGAAATGAACCTTCAAAATATGGAATGAAGTATTTATACTGTTGCTTGACATATATGTGGAATACTGATTTCAATTCGTTTTTTTCCTAATATAAGAATAGGAAAATGAAATATAAAGTAAACCTAATATTAGCTATCTAATTCTTCATACCTTAAAGGCTAAGGTTTAAATTTTTTTATTTATACATTAAACTGGCTTTTGGAAAGTTACATTTAAATGGAATTTTTGAAAAGCAGCAATATGTTTAATACAGTTGCTCGTTTGTGACTGTGATTATATTATTCTATTTTCTCAGGGAGTAAGAGAAGCAAACCTGGAACCCGCTTCACTCAGAGTGACAGAGCTCCACAGAAAAGGGTCCGATCGAGAGGTAAAAAAGAAAAGAGGAATGCACTTTCAATAACTAAACATCTAATTTCCTGTGCTTTATGCTGTATTTTCAGTAATAAACCTATTTCCTTAATTGTTTTATGAAACTGTACTAACTGTTGAGAAATGTATCCTATTAAGTCATTTTCCAAAATGTGTCAAGGAAAGAAGGAAGTAAGTTGGTGATTGATCTACAATCAGACCCTGGGGGCTCAGGGGCCACTAAAGTGCTACTTCCACAGAAATGATAAATTTCAAGGCTGGAGATAGCCCATTGCTGTATAAAGGGTATAACCCATAAGTGATTTAGCTGACCTTCCTCTGGCTACACAGAATGCCACAGGTTGCGCACTAAGGTTGAACCAGAGTTGTGGTTAGAGATCTGTGTCCTAAGGCTTTTTGGCTTTTTTTTTTTTTTAATCTTTGACTGTGTGGTCTTGTGCTGACCACTTGGCCTTCTTTGCCTTGGTTTCCTCATCTGGGAAGCTAGAGGGTGAATTAGGCCAACCACCCTTCTTATTAGTCCATCTCAGTCTAAATAGTCTGCCCTTTTCAAAACCAGTCTCAGGACCAAGGGCCGCTCCCCCTGCCCGTCATGGCCTCCACTCCTCTGTTTAGAAGGGCAGGATTCGCTGCTCATCCTCCTGGAGTTTTTCTTTGAAAAACTTTCACACCTACTTCTGTGGTATCAGGTTCCCAGTTCCCCACTCCCTGCTCAGTACAATTTTCAGATTATTCTAGAGCTCCCTGAGCTCCTTTCTCAGCTGTGGAGAAAGCTGATAGGAGGGGAAAATGGAGCAAAGCAGAGAATAAAAGCAGAAGGCAGGCGCCATCTCCATTAGGTTATCTCATCATTAGCCTCTCCCTCCTTGACCAGTCAGTGCTCAAATGGGAGACTGATTATGGTCTCCAGCTTCATCTCTGGCTACCTAACTGCAGCAAAACAGCATAGCTGGAGAGCGCCCATCAAACCAATGACAACAACTGTATGTTTCATTGTCATATAAGAATCAGTGGAGCTTACTACATTGGAAGTTAAAACAGTTTTACTGAAGTCTAATTTCTCCAATATTTTGTGTGACATTTGAAAGGTGAAATTGGGGCCCACATTGTGTAGTTATGTATAAAAAATGCCACTTGGAAGAAAGACTTTGAAACTCTAGAGATTTATGCAATAGAATTTCTTAAGTAGTCTTTGTGCCTTTGTAGGATTTACTTCAGTGGGGAAGGGGGATGTGCCTTTGCAAAGTGAGACACAATGAAGAAATCCTCTCTTTCAGCTTCAAGAAAGCACAAAGATGAAACTGTGGGTTTTCAGGCTCCTTTACTTCCGGTGACCTGTGGTGGGGTGAAGGGAATTTTACATAAGGAGAAATTGAAACAAGGTGGGTTTCATGGTCTTCTTTAAATTGCAGCTCCTATCTGAAGGCATCACAAGTAGTGGGGAATTATCATGTGAATTACACATCATTCAAGGAGTTTGGCCCCAGTTTGGCTTGAGGGAAGGAGGAAGGGATTTCTAAGATGACATTTTCAGACTTTAAGAAATCACACCCATTAGATGCTCACTCGCACACGGAGTGTCCAGGGGTTGCCCAAAGAACCAAAGAGAAGTGCAGGAACGTCAATTTGCAGATGGAAAATGTCACATATTTTACTTTGAATCAGACAGAAAAGGGAAGAGGCCCTCAACCTCGACCTTCATATTCTCTCCCCCTTCTGGAGTGCCATCACCAGGGCAGGGTGCTTGGCTTAGGGTGATATTCACAGGCTTTAACATTAGGAAGCCTGAGCTCCAGCCTTGGCTGTGCAGGGGTGACTGTTCCATTCTGAATAGAGAAGGGGACCTTTCTGAATGTGAAAGTTCTCATCTAAGAGAGGGAACAATAATGAAAAACCTGCCTCATGATGTAGCTGTGAGAATTAATTTACATATTAACGTAAAATATTTTGTAATTGAAAATTATAAAACTTTGTCAAAATCATCTATCAGAATGGCCTTCATCTCAGACCTCTCTTAACTTGGCTCTTTGAGCACCAATTAATATAAATGTTTTCATTGGGACTTTTTTTAAACAGCTTAACTGAAATAGAGTTCACATCTCATGTAACTCACCACTTAGAATATACCAGTCAATGATTTTTTTTGTATTTTCACAGGATTGTATAGCCATTATTATCATCTCATTTTAGAACAATTTGTCCTTCACTAAAGGAAACCTCATGTCAATTAGCAGTCAATGCCCATTCCCACCTTGCCCCAATGCCCAGCCCTAAGCAGCTGCTCATCTATTTCCTGCTCTATAGATTTGCTTATTCTAGGCATTTTCTACAAATGGAATCCTATAATACATCTCCTTTTATGACTGGCTGCTTTTAATAAGCATGATGTTTTCAAAGTTCATTCATATTGAATGTATTGGTACTTCATTTCTTTTATTGATAAATCATATATTTCATTGTACAGATACACCACATTTTGTTTATCCATTCATCAACTTGGGTTATTTTCACTCTTTGGCTGTTATAAATAATGCTATTTTGAACATTTGTGTAACAAATTTGGTGTGAACATATTTCGGTTCTTTGAAGTGTATATTCAAGAGAGGAATTGCTGAGTCCAATGGTCATTCTATTCTTAACTTATTGAGGAAACACCAAAGTGTCTTCCACAGTGGCTGCATTATTCTATATTCCCACGAGAAATGTGTGAAGGCTCCCATTTCTCTACACACTCACCAACACTTGTTATTGTCTGTCTTTTTTATTAAGATACTAGTGGGTGTGACGTGGTATCTCATTGTGATTTTGCTTTGCATTTCCCTAATAGCTGATGGGGTTGACTATGTTTTATATATAACTTAAATTTTCTATTAGGTAACATTTCACAATTATTTTTTAGTATCAGCTACCCGTGATTGCACAGATGAGAAAATCTCTGTTCAATAATGCCCTAAAACCGAATGAAAAATGTTGTAATAGAAGGTGCACATGTTGCTGGGGTGGCCTCCTGAGCCACAGGGCACTCATCTCAGACTGTACCCCTACCTAAGGATTCTGCCTCCACGTTGCCCCCAGAGCCATCTGCAGACTCAGGCCTGGTCTCTACCCCCAGAATTCAAAAGCAAGTTGGAATCCTCTCATCTTTCAGAATTACTTGCTTTTCATTCTGCAAGTGCTTTTGAAATGCTTAAAAGGTTGCTCTTGTTGGCAACCATCACTTTCTTCATGGATGAAGGTCAAAGAAATGTGCACCCCCGCCAGGAAATATCCTTAGAGGGGACTTTCAGGCTGGATGTGAGGCCTCTGAAGTCTGAGAGGGAAGGCCAGACCCTCCCGCTATTGATCTTGATCAGAAATTGGGTGGTTCTAGATACAATGTGGTGAGTGGCCACAGTCTGAGCACTGGGAACAAAGAGGGCTCAGGATCAACTTACCCTGGTCTTACAGGAAGCTTCTTGAAGTGTATACAGACTGAGGATGGAAATTGGTTCACCCCCGGGGAATTTGAAACCAAAGGAGGCTACGCAAGAGCAAAGAACTGGAAGCTGAGTGTGCGCTGTGGCGGGCGGCCCCTACAAAGGCTGATAGAGGTATTCCAATGACAAGGGGCCAGACCTGTACCCCTTCCTGTTGTTCCCCAATAATGAAGAGACTGTTTATTCACCAAATATTTGTTAGGTTATAGCTAAATCCTTGATGCCAGTGAGTTTATCCTCTCACTCAGGAGAGAGGGACCCCATATTCATAACCACACTACAGTGCAACACATTGATATTGTACAGGGGCTCCATCAGGATAGATGCAGCAGCTTGGAGGAAGAAAGGGTCATTCTGACTAGGGTGGATGCAGACAATTTTGTGCACTGAGAAAAAGAAGAGAGTCGATAGTCAGGCAGGGCAAGAAGATACTTCAGAGAAAGAATGACCTGAAAACCAGAATGGCATTAAAACAAGAACCATAGTAAAACTATTAACAGGTCTGTGGATTTAGGTAGATAGATTGCATACAGTAAGGCACAATTCAGCAACTGAGGTTGTCTGTGGAGCGCTTTAATGCCAGGCTAAGTAATACAAATCTGTAATTGAGATAACAAGGAATTGGCGAAATCTTCTGAGATTGAAAATGACATTTAACACAGTATTTTAGACAACAATGGGGTTTTGAAATGTCTTCACTGTTTCCCCTGGTAGCAAACCTATACTCAGTCTGGAATGCTTAGCTCAAATGTTACCCTCTTCCTTAAATATTCACTGACCTAGCCATGGGTCCTCCCTTCCCAGGGTTCCTGAGCCCCCTACTAATGCCCTTTTTTCACTGTTTATATTTATCCTTCTGTGAGTGCTTTTTGTCTGTAGATGTCTTTAGGTTTTCCCATCTCCATGTACCCAAGATTGATCAGAGTGACTGACACCCAGTAGCATGCAATAAGTGGGTGCTGCTTGGATAGCTCTGGTGTAGGGACTCCAGCTGGGAGTGGCCCTGGTGGAACTGGAAAAGAGGTGATAGATGGTATGAGATTATGAACGAAAACCTCTTAGGACTTAGGAAAGAAGCACAAGAGAAGGGAAAATGATCCTGAAAATGATTTTCTGTTGATTGGAGTCTAGAAGCACAGGTGAAGAGAGGGAGATGGTTTCTCATTAGACATCTTGGGTTTGAGCTGGCAGTGGAACACTCAGGTAGAAGCATTTAGGAAGAGGTTGGAAATGCCAGACTCACAAAACAGAAACACAGGCTGACTATGAATCTTGGTCTTTTTATGTTTCAGGAAGGATCTCTACCTAATCCTCCAAAAATACATTACAGGAACCAGAAGGTGATTATTACATAATTTTCTACAGATTCTTGTCACATAACTGATTTAACATGTACGACATCTTATTTTATGAAGTCTCCAATTGGGTAATTATAATTAAGCTTTCACCTTCTCCACTACCCACGTTTAAATTTTTTTATGTATGCCTTCAGAGTTGCTACTTTCAATACTATGTGTATATAAAGCTAGGTCCTCTTTGGATTAAACTGTATCAGATGGAGATGCTGAGGAGCCATCAAAACAAACCTCCTGAATGTGTTTTAGCAACAGATGCAGATGTTCTAAGAGTGTCAAAGTTGGAAAATCCAACACGGTCATGGAATACATAAAAATATTTCATAATAAGATGAGAATATCATCTCCAACTCAAAATCAGATTTTTTCCATTGATGTTATTGTTTTCTAACTTTTGTGAAATTGATAGAGCCAACGTTTCCTCCCAGTCACTTGAGACGTGTATAAAACCATATATTATTTCATGAAATAGATAATAAAAAGAATATTTCTTTTCCGATCTTTCACATCCTCTTTCACCTTCCAAAAAAAAATGTACACACAGATACACAGAATTCTTTCTCAACGGGAAATTATTTCCCTTCGTCAAGATGGTGCCATTGGGGAGGAAGATCTCCAGAGGCGAATGTATTTTACAGGAGGGGCTGACCAGGAAAACCTTTTATGTTGATGCCACCTCTTTGGCTCTACCAGAAAGACTGTGCAGACCTGCTTTTTATCTGTGAAAGTGATTTTCCCTTCACTTAAAGAACGTGACAAATAAATAGGTTAAGTGCAGTGTAGATTCAGGACAAGGTGATGGTTTTTCCAAGACTGAGTATGAATGAGAACCTGAGGAGAGGGAAGAGAAAAATGTCATCCTTGTGCACTTCAGGTAGAAATGCGCATTCAAGACATTGACAGACTTCTAAAACAGCTCACACATAGCTAGCCACTGGGCTTCATATTCCATTGGGAACCTGAGATCCAGGCCTTTACCTTATCTGATATACTGGCTGATTTGAATTCTCAGCCACTGAGATATTTCATCCACTGGGTTTCCTGAAGGGAAACTATTACGTCACCTTTTCAGTGACTACACTAAAGACCAGCCTCTCTACCTTTCCCCAGGTGCCGAGAGTAACTCAGTCTGGATGACCCAAATGAACTGGACATTTCCAACTAACCGACTCTCCCCCTCTTCTGAGGTGCAACACTTAGCAGCAACAAGCTGCAGTTGCCTCTATGTGTTGTGTCTCCTCATGGGGAGAACAGAGGTCCCCTAAGTGGCAGATCCAGGATCCATTACAAACTCCATGGGTCCTCTGTGCCTCTCAGAGCTTCTCTTGCTGGCAAAGCCATTTGGCTTCTGGAAACTTCAGTGTCACTATCAGTGCCACATGATAGTGTCTCTGCTCAGGCTCATGACAAGGGCCACATAAACCTTTTGGTGGCAGCTGAGGTGTAAAACAATCTGATATACTCACCCAGAATAATTGTTGTATGCTAATGCTTGCTTAAGAGACTCTAGTATTTTTTTTTTTTTTTTTGGAGACAGAGTTTCACTCTTGTCATTCAGGCTGGAGTGCAGTGGTGCGATCTCAGCTCACTGCACCCTCCGCCTCCGGGGTTCAAGCGATTCTCCTGCCTCAGCCTCCCAAGTAGCTGGGATTACAGGTGCCCACCACCACACCTGGCTAATTATTTGTATTTTTAGTGGAGACGGGGTTTTGCCATGTTGGGCTGATCTTGAACTCTTGAAACAATATTCATTTATTCACCCATTCAACATATACTTATCAAGCACATACTAAATTCCAAAGGCCATTACAAAAGATTGACCTGAAAAATCATTTCAGGCCAGGCATGGTGACTCAAGCCTATAATGCCAGCAATTCGAAAGGCTGAGATGGGAGGATGACTTGAGCTCCGGAATTTAAGACCAATCTGGACACATCGGGAGATACCACTTCTACCAAAAAAAAAAAAAAAAAAAAATACCCAGGCATTGTGGTGCACACCTGTAGTCCTGCAGTAGCTACTTGGGAGGCTGATATGGGAGGATCACTTGAGCCTGGGAGGTCCAGGCTGTAGTAAGCTGTGATTTCATCGTGGCACTCCAGCCTGGGTGACAGAGTGAAACTCTGTCTCAAAAAAAAAGAAAAAAAGGAAAAGATTGTTTCAATTTTATTGTAAACATGGATGAATTACAAATGGGTGAGGTAGGAGATTCTAGGCTAGTCAGAGAGGCAGTCAGTGACAAGGTCACTTCTCAGGTGCTTGTGCTTTGGGTCACACTTGTTTATAGCCTCTGTACCCTGGGCTAGAGACAAAAGCTGAGGCTGCCTGTATCCCAGAAGGAAAAGGTGCCAACTCCTGCAATGGATATCCAAAAACAATCTAAATAAATCTAGTGGGTTACCTCTTAAAAGACAGTCAGTCAACCTGACATCTTCTTGTGCTTTGGATAGAAGGGAGAGTGGGAGACGCTCAGGAAGAAGAGCTGCAGCACAGAGGACCTTGGAGGCATTTTATCACCAGGGCTTTGTCCCTAATGGAGCTGCAGAAAGCAGTGTTCTTCTTCTCTGGGATACTTGCATGGCCTCCAGGACTCTGGGCCCTGGGGTACTTGGAGGATGTGGGGGATAAGTTCTCAGCCTGATTATTATTGCAGCTCTTCTGGGTGGGATGACACAAAGGCCAAGTTTAGGAAATATGCCTGAGGGCCCCTTGGAGTAAAAGGACAAGTAGAGCTTCTCTGACTTGGCCTGTGCGAACTAGGTCCAGACTCCCTGCAGGGAATGGGATTTGCATTGGGCTGAACAGTAGTACTTGGGGACTTTTTCTTCCCTCAGTAGATATATAGGTCCAAAAAATCAGATATGAGGTAAAGGGAAGACTGTTTAAAAAGTAAAATTTTAGACAAAATAAATTTAATAGCATTTATTGGAGCAAAGAGCAATTCATGAATTGGGCAGCGCTCAGAACAAGAAGAGGTTCAGACAGCTCTGCTGCAGCAGCCCAGACAGTGAGGCCAACACAGGAATAAGTCAGAGAAACTATATTTAATGGGTTATCACAGAAAGATGCTAATTAGAGGTAGATGGCGGATTCTAGTCGGTAAAGTCTCTAGTGTCATTTTACTGTTCACATCAGGTTTCAGTTTATTTACATAGGAAATTAAAGCACTGGAGTCACCCCAGCCTACTGGCCTTCTCCTCCCAACTATTTTTTTACAACTGGTTCCTGAATCCCTTCAAAGATGACTACTTAAATTTAAGTAAGTGATAGATGGAAACAATGCATTCAGTATCGTAAATCAATCTTTCTGTTTTTTCAACAGAGAATACTGAAGTCTCACAACAATAGCTCAGTGGACCCTTGTGTAAGTACAAATTCTGAGCTATGACCCCCAGAGTATTCCACTCCTTTCTCCAGGGATATGTTCTGTGCCATGACTGCTACTCCCTGAAGCATGTTCAGTCTCAGTTGGAGTATGTTGCTGTGTGTGATGAGCAAAGAATACCAGTTGCATCACCCAAGCCAGGTAGATGTGCCTGGCTCTTGGGTGTCTCAGTGTGAAAGCACCCTTCCCATGTGTTTCAGTAGAAACCTTCCAATGTTCTTATTTCCTTATTCTCTTGGATAGTGAGTATGGGAGGCTGAGCTCTAGACCACTGAGGTCTCTTGAGACAGAGCTTGAAGTGGTAATGGGTAGGGCTGGCCTGGTGACTAAGGGGAAGGAGTAAATGTGAGAGGATAACAGCATTCTCAAGTAGGAGGTATGGATGAAAGGGAAAGTCCCAAAAGTGCACTCCAAGGTGCAGGTAGAGCTGAAGATCGTCTTAAGCATCAGGCCGAAGGAACAGAGCATGCCAAGCTCTTATGTTTAAGGTGTGGAGTCTGTCATTAGTCCTGTGAAGGAGTACATACAGGACAAGAGGTCCTTTACAGAGCCCCTATGACCAGTCTCAGGGAAGCCATTAGGCTGATGAGCTGGTTAGGACTGAAACCATCATGACCTAGTAAATCCTGAGGCATTTTAACTCAACTGCTTATCTGGTGCTCAGTACTATGCAAACTTTCTGATCCCATGGGCCCCATCCATTCTCTACTTGCTATATGGCTGCCTGCTTTGGGTTCTACCGAAATCATGGATGAGTTCTTTCTCTAAATGAAATTCTGGTTTGCTCCTTTTCATTGCAGTGAGATGTCAATTTTAGGTAAGGTCACTTTCTCGCAGAACTCCAGGAGGCAGCACTCACATAGAATATCATGCAATAATACTGACACATAATACTTAACTGAGGAGGGATGCTCAAATAGTTTTATACACACCTTACCTCCAAAGCAATCCTCCAACAAGATTTAGTTCTTATCCACACTGATTTTGACGCCCAGCCAACTCAGGGACTCAGAACAGTTAAAACGGTCCTGGAGGTCAGTGCTTGTGTGGCTGATTTTGTATAAGCTTGACATGGAGGTTTATGTCTCACAGCCCACAGCCAGATGTTTGTGGGAAAAAGAGGAAAACAGTTCCAGCAAAGGTATGGTCACCACTATTAATAATTTTTCCAAGGCCAATAACAACATTGACTTATAATATACCCATGCCTCCATAACCAGACTTTGCTCAGGTTGAATCTCAAATTATCCTGTATCCTGGAGTCACCTGAAGCGCTTTAAAAAATATTGTTGCCTGGATCCCCCTTCTAGGGAAATTCTAAATTAATCAATCTGGACTATGTAGGACTTGAACATTAGAATTTTTTTAAGGTCCCCAGATGATGCTGATACATAGAATTACCTATTCTGTCACCTAAAGAAGAATACCAGTGCCTGCACCTCAGCCCTGACCCAGTGATTCAGAATCCCTGGTGCTGGGTTCAGGACATTAGCATTTTATGTACTCCTGAGATGAGTCTAATGTCCAGCCAGACCAACAACCAAAGAACCAGAGAAATCAAATCTCTTCTTGAAAAGATATAGATTTGGAGGAAAAAAATGGCAGATCGGAGGCAGGACCAACTTCCACCTCCGACTCAGACAGACAGAACAGCATGATGAGACTCACATCGTGAACTTTTGCTACAAGAGCCAGCACAGGAACATTCCAGCAAAATAAGGAATTCACAGACCCTTTGAAAGAAGTGGCTTGCCACTGCAAACTCTGTGAGACAGCCAAAACACAGTTCTCAACGTGTGAGAGGGAAAAAGTCCACCTCTGAACATATATCCTCACTGGGGAACCTGAAAATCCAGATCACGGGAGAAGGATTTCACCTAACCTAGAGCTGAAATGAATTTAGAGAGCTGGGCAAAATATAAAAGTAGAAGTAGCAGCAGACAGAGCCCTGTAGGCACTCCACACAGGGCCACATGGGGGCTGCGCTCAGGAACAGTGGAAACAGCCAGTGGCTGTGGAGGGTGGGCTGTCCCCTGCTTCCAGAGGGAGAGTGTGATTGGCTGGTTTGAATAATTCCATGGCTGGCAGGGAAACGAAATCAGCTAATCAAAAATAAGCAGAAGGTGCAAGCAGTCCTCTTGATCAGAAGTGTTGGTAGGAAACCTTATCTGCAGGAGCAGAGCCAGGGGAGAACTTGTAGATAGACCATTCTAGGCCCTCCCAGTGTTACCAGACGTCCAGGCTGCACATAATATTGAACTCTAATTTTAGTCCTTACAGCACTTTTCCCTTGAACGACAAAGGGCTCAGTCACAGACCGGTTCTTTGTCATGAATACACATGCATTTGTCTACAATACAGCCTCTATGTATTGGTCTCTATATTTGTTCTATAAATTCTGTTGGTTTTTAATGACTGGAATTTGCTCCACAACACGTGGATGCAAATACTATCATATTTTAACTTCACTAAATCAAATTAAATCTAGCTAAAGGTCTCATATATTGAGACTGGTGAGAAATGGAGAATTAGTTGATTTCCCATTCTTTTTATAGAACAAAGCACCAGCTCTTTTATGGGCCCAGGAAATGAGGAGAGGGCCTCCATCTTCAACACTGTATGATGCTGTTACCATGGTCCTTGGTCATTAGAGATGACATCTTTGCACCTTACAATCCAAATTAGCCAAGTCATGGGAGATCTTCTGTCAGGCTCCCCAGAGCCAAAGAGCTCTATGTGCCCCCTGTGACCCACCTGGTCATCTGTACTCATGGTCCTTCCCCCTCAGAGGTCGGTGTAGAGCCCTCCAGGCACAAAACCCACAGCCTAGAAACCCCTAACTAGGCCCTCTCTTCAACTCATGGGAAACTTATGGCCAAGAATATGGCATGTGATGATATCTCAGAAGCTTATTCCGTTATATGTAATTCTCTGGGTCTCCATTTCATGAGTTGATTTGTAGTATAAGCAAATGTATTTAACACGTTACTTCAAAACCTGGTTTTATCTGCAGCATAATACAATTATTCAGATTCCTATAAGATCATCCTCTTGCTTCGTTGCTCGTCTTTCTGCGTTATAATCTCTGGTTTTATAAGGAAAACATTTTTATTCTGACACATACCCCTGCCTCCTGAACTTCACTGCAGACCAGGATTTGTTCTGAAATCTCCATGCCATGCTTTTCCTTCATATCCCAGGGAGAAGCATACGCCTGTCCACACAGACTCACACAAGGCAGTGTGTTCTAGATGCCCAGAGGGGTGGCCTTCCTGAATCTTGCAGTTCCCAGTGACATGGAAACTCTTTTACCTTCTAGATGAGAAACTTGGATGAGTGTGAGGTGTGCCGGGACGGAGGGGAGCTGTTCTGTTGTGACACTTGTTCAAGAGTCTTCCATGAAGACTGTCACATCGCGCCTGTGGAAACTGAGAGGTGAGTGACATGCAGGCGCCTCTCCTTCCTCCTTTAAGGGACCTTCTGCCTGCCATGCGTGCTCTCCAGCAGAGCGCCCACTTGTGTCTAGATGGGGAAGGAGCAGGTTCGTCGGGTACTGGGACCCAGCAGTGTGTTCAGAGAGCAGCGGGAGACGCTGGCAGCAGGAGGTTCATGTTCTCTGTGCTCTCAAGGACCCGCCTCTGATATGCTGAGGCCAGTGCTGGGGACCTTTTGCCTACATACTGGTATTGTCCTTTCCTTCAATTTGGCAGGAGAGTCTCCTGTCCCAAGGGATTGAGGAAAAGAAACACCGGTTGTTTGTATTTTGTGCTTATTCATACAAGACAGGAAGCACGGTCTTGGGCTGATGGAGGCCCGAGGTCCCTGGAGCTGAAAGCCCAGTTTCTGAAACTCAGGCCTGACAGGCAGGGCTGCTTGTGCTCCCAGCAGCTCAGACAGGGAAAGGATAGTCCACATTCACGGTGACACCACCTTCCTTGGGCTTCTTGCCTGCTGCTACCGCTGATGCGAGGGAAAGGCCAATGGCTGGAGATCCCATGTGTGAATCCTGCATACTCTGGGAGGTATTCTCCTCCCTCCCATGGCTGAGCCCATCAGCCATTCCTGAAGGAAGACAGTGGCAGCCACAGGAATAGTGGCCGTTTCCAGGGTCCCTGCCCTCTGCTCACCCATGTCCAATCTCTCAGGACCCCGTGGAGTTGCATCTTCTGCAGGATGAAGGAGTCTTCAGGAAGCCAACAGTGTTGTCAGGAATCTGAGGTCCTGGAGAGGCAGATGTGTCCGCAGGAACAGTTGGTAAGTCAGATGCAAACCCCAAGCCTTCTCCTTTCCCCTCACACGTGAGCACCATGAACAAGCGCAGGGTCAGGGGAATTCACAAAAGGAGCCTGCTCTTCCGAGCCACACTTCAATCACACTGATAGAACACCCCAATTTGTTTGCACAAAAAATAACTCAGCCATGACATGTCTGTTTCCAAGAGCCACGCATGTTAGAGAAACTTGTGGAAGAAGGGTGTGAGTCGTGTGCTCCGTCTCATGCATGTGGGCTCATTCTCTCCAAGCTGCTTTTCATTTACGGCCTCTTTCTTTTGCAGAAATGTGAGTTCCTCCTCTTGAAAGTCTATTGCTGTTCTGAGAGCTCCTTTTTTGCCAAGATTCCATACTATTATTATGTAAGTAAAAACAGCAACCCATGATTACAGGCTGCCATGACATTACCTGACCCTGAAATGGGCCCTCGTGAGATTTGTGATCTTAATCCCACGGGGCAAGAGCACACGCTGTCGTTACAACCTTCACCTTGTTGTATTTCTGCTGGATTTTGTGGGAATCCACAGAAGGCAGACATTGAACTATGCTGGTAGCTTTTCCATTGGTATTTTTGTCACCAGATTAGAGAGGCGTGTCAAGGCCTGAAGGAGCCCATGTGGTTGGATAAAATCAAGAAAAGGCTGAATGAGCACAGTTACCCCCAAGTGGAGGGGTTTATACGAGACATGCGCCTCATCTTCCAGAACCACAGGGCCTCTTACAAGGTAGGTGGCTCTTCCTGCTTCCATTTCATTTCTTTCCATCCTTCCCCTCATTTTCTGGTGCCTAGAAAAATTTAGTTTCCCTCATCCTGTAATAAGCTTGCACAAGCAAGGGTTCTGGAAGTGACTGATTGTTTTCAGTTCAGAACTTAAGCTCTTCTTAGCAAAGAAACGGTGAGTCAAAAGGTGTCCCTGCAACCAGAACCCCAGGTCCCTGAGAGCTCCTCCCCGACCTGCCCCAGAGGAGACAGGAGCTCAGAGAGAGCAATTGAGTCCTGCCTGCTGCAGCATATAAAGAGAAGAGAATTTCATCTTAAAGTGATATTGTGCTTCTTATCTGCCCCCAATCCCAGAAATCCCAAACTCCAGATTCCTTTGCATGTGAAGAGACCATATGGTTAACACGGATTACCAGCAAGGAGTAGAAGTGACCGAGAAAGGAACAGATCAGTGATCTTACCTTATACCCTTCCACTATCTGAATTGTTGAAAGAGCATAGATTACTTTTCTAACCCACTGAAATAAGCAACCAAAGCCAAAGAAGTAATAATCCCAACTGTGGAAATGATTTCACTTTTCTGCCCTGTTAATAAGAAAGCATCATGCTGGTAAGAAACAGAAGTTACTGTTAGCTGCATTAGTTTTCAAGTTTAACCTGGTTAATGTAACTTAGGGTGTTTAAGATAAGAGTTCTACTTAATAATAGTATATTTCACACTTCAACATTGTTCAGAGAGTAAATATCAAATGTTCTCACCACAAAAAATGATAGCTCTTTGAGGTGATGGGTATGTTAATTAGTTTGACTTAATTATTCCACATAGCAGTCATAAATCACAACACTACCTTGTACTCCAAAATACATACCATTATAAATTGTCAACTTACAGTTTTTATTTTTTAAAGACAAGAGTCCTGATCATTCTCAGTTGAAAGGTGTCTAATGACACTAATGATAAGGAACATCGTTTTTGTCTTTATTATTTTTTTTTTTCCAGTATAACGATTTTGGTCAAATGGGACTTAGACTGGAGGCTGAATTTGAGAAGGATTTCAAGGAAGTGTTTGCTATTCAGGAAACAAATGGGAACAGTTGACTGGTTTAGTGGATGCTGAAGGCCTTCAGGAAATGGTACCCCAAAATATGCCACTGCCTTGCCACTGACTTCAAACTGAGAGCACTTGGGAAATAGCACAAGCAGGGAGGGGCTTTTCTCTGAGCCTCCCTCATCTGCCCAAAGACAAATCCTCAAAAGAAATTCGATCATCATGAATCACATCCCCAAGAATCTCACCAACCAGAGAAGAGTAACTGAGATCACAGGGAAGGAGATTGGAGGTGACACCAGCACAGACAGACTCTCACCTCTTCTCCTGAGGTCGGCTCGAGATAACATTTATTACTCACAAGACCTTTCTCCTCTGTTTTTTTTTGAGACGAAGTCTCACATTGTCACCCGGGATCGGAGTGCAATGGCGCGATCTCGGCTCACTGCAACCTCTGCCTCCCAGGTTCAAGCGATTCTCCTGCCTCAGCCTCCTGAGTAGCTGGGATTACAGGTGCCTGCCACCACACCCAGCTAATTGTTTGTATTTTTAATGGAGACAGGGTTTCACTATGTTGACCAGGCTGGTCTCAAATTCCTGACCTCATGATCCACCTGCCTCGGCCTCCCAAAGTGCTGGGATGTGACAAGAGTGAGCCACCGCGCCCGGCCACTTGCAAGACCTTTTATCTGAAAACCAGCCAAGCTTTATTCACGACACACTTCTTCCCTTTCCTCTCCCACTTCTGTGGCCAACTCCCTGCAGAACGCCCAAACCCCCATTCTTTTCGATAAAGATAGCTCATGATGGTGTATGAATGTCAATCATCTGACCCTTCTTGAAGTGTTAAATTTCGTGGGACTCCTGTGCAAACATGTATTATTAAAAATTTTTTCCTCCTGTTGATCTACTTATGTCAATTTAATTCACTCGTAGCTCAGCCAAAGAACCTAGCAGGTTAGAGGGAAGCCATTTTTCACTCCCCTGGAAAGCTGCTGGCATCCTGGCACCATCTCCTCTTCTGGCCAGGTCTTTTCATCCCCAGCTGCTGAGTGGTGGCTGCTAATGTCAGCAGTCCCCAGAGTATTACCCTTGATTGAATGGAATCAGCTTTACCTGGAAGTGACACCTGTGGCCTGAGGTCGGCCCCCTTGCCTCAAAGCAGGACCAAGGATGTGGTGTGCGGCTACTCTGTGCTCCCAGGAATCAGGCTGGAGATAGTCTCCAGCTGTTGCCACATCCTGGCTCAGCTTTTGCCCACATGATGAGCTTCCCCCACTCCCTTCTCAGTGAACGCTCACCATCAATCTCTTGCTTAAGGGACTTCATCCCAGAATGTGCTTCTGGGGAATGCAACCTAAGGTAATGGCCCCAGGAAGCAAGCTCTGAGGACAGGATTCTGGAGCTGGATCACTGTCTAGCCCAATGGTGCTGGGTGGAATATGGATAGTCCCAGAAGTGCTATCACTGAGCAGTTGCCCAAATTTTCACCTGTAGTAAAATGGATGAGCTACAGGTCAAGCTATGTACTAAAGTAGCTGGTACAATTGTCTGGCATTTAAGAAGTGAGGAAAAGTAACTATAAGAAGTATGGGTTATTACTAAGTGCCGTTAATGTCTTGAAAAGAGTAAATGACAGGCTTAGATCTATTCATCACAAGCCTAAAGAGAAGAGATCCTCATACCTGCAGCTGGAAGGCAGACAGCAAGGAAGGTCTGGTACAGGCCCTGATTTTACAAATCGCAGAACTTCAGAGAAGACTGAATTCTAAGCTCTGGGTGGTCTCTTATGCCAAAGTCAAGGCCTTAAAACTCAGTATGGGGCTATCTAGGTAGATGTACATGAGAACTTTGAACTCCAGATGCCCCCTGAACCTACTGGGTTTGCAGAAAAGTCTTTCTGCCCCTTGTTGGAAGAGAGAGCTACCACCCCCACCCAACTCCCGATTTTTCTAGAATGAAGACTATGTAGAGACTGCTCAGGAAAATACTAGTCCACAGTCATGGGCAGGGCGACAAAGTGAAGAGAGCGTTCATCCTCCGAAGGAGCTGTAGGACTGGCCAGCTGCATCAGCAGGAGCAAGGAGATTGTGTCTGGGAGTGGATCCTGGTCCAGGAAGGGCGAAATGTGAAACCAGATAAGTGGGAATTATTGACAAAAGGGCAAGCTTCTCTACCACAGAGTTTAACTAGCCTGGCATGGGCCAAAGGTAGCAATTCTGATATACTCCTGGGTGGCTCCCAGAGACTTAGTATAAGCCATGCTACACATTAAATCAAGTGGAAGCAGAGATACCAGGACTACTGTGGCAAAGTCTGGGAAAAGGGGTCCCAAGGATATAGAAGTTGGTGTGCTAGAATGACTCTGTGCTCTACAACTGGAGAATCCATCCATCAGGCGACCGAGTTCCTCCAAAGGGCGACACTACTAAGGTGTCTCAGACACTAACTAAGGTGAGAAGGAATGCACTGCTGAGGGGGCAGCACATCCTTGACAAGCTCAATGGTGACTGTCCCCTGCAGGCTGGAATAATGCTAGGGATGTTTTATAGAACTGGATCCCCCAGTAGTGAGCAAAATGATAGAATTCCAGAATAACAGAGGCCAAGTGGCAGCATTTAACTGTGAAGACAAGATAAAGTAATTTCCCTAAGGGTCATCAATGTTAGAGTGACAGCTGGGAGGCCTGGCTTGTAGGTGTCTATGAAGGTGGCCAGTAGGACATGCTGTTCCTCTAGGCAAGACACATATTGCTTTAGACACATAATCAAAAGAGATTGAAAGTAAATGAGCAGCAGACTGATGTCAGCTATCTAAAGGTAAAGTCTTAGACCCCTTGCCCAGCTTCCAAACCTCAGCCAGTTCTCAATGGAATCCAGAACCCACTGTTGGAAATGAGGGCAGTTTCTCATAAAGAAGAACCTTGTTAATGTGCACAGCACTGATTTCCTCGAGTTTTCATGGGAGGGCTCTATGGTCATTTGTTCGAGTAACTCACATGCTGGGGAAAGGAAAATACACAGATCTTTCAAGGGATGTTGAGTACACTGTCAGAGTTGATGCTAATCCCTGGGGACCCAAAGCCCTATCGTAGCCCCTGTTAGAGTACGTGGAGGTGAGGTAATGTCCATCTCACAGTGGGCCCTCTGGATCCACAGAGCCACCCAGCAATCATTTCCCCAGTTCCTGAATGTATAATCAGGATATACATTCATACATACATCATAAAATATAGCAATTTCCTGTCCTGGTTCCTTAACCTCTGGTTTCCTAAACTACAAAATAACAATGACTATCTTAGGGAAGGCCAAGCAAAAGCCTCTGAAACTAAAGTTTCATGGTGAAAAAAAGTAAGTCAAAAGCAATTATCACATTCTTGGGGAATGATAGAGATTAGCGCCACTTACAAAGACGTGAGGGAGTCAGGGGTTGTTATCCCAGTTACACCTCCATTTTAATTCAGCAGTCTGCCCTCTGGCATCTCCTGATGGTTCATGCTGCTAAATGACTACTAAAACTTAACTTAACTAAGGAGTAGCCCCAATTACAGTTGCGATGGCAAATGTGATATCTTTATTATAACAGGTTAGCACAGACTTAGTAAGTGATATGCAACTATTAATATGGAAATGACACTTTTAAAGGATTCAGCAGGATGTAGGTTGAGAAGCAATTCACAATCTCAAGGATTGGACAACAGTGTATCTTTACAGTCTTGCTCCAAGGCAAGGTGAATCCTGCTCTGTGTTACAATATAGCCTTTCTGGACACTCTGCAATACATGACATTGGCCTACCATATTGATGACAGTATGTTCATGGGCCTGATAAGCGAGAAAGGGTTGACTATTCTGAATGACTTAGTAAGTCACAAACACTACAGGTGGTGGGAGAGAAACGCTGCAAAGATTCAGAGATATGCCATATAAGCTTTCAGGGGTTCAATGGTCTGGAGCATGTCAGTGTATCCCCTCCAAAGCTCCATGCTATTGTAGCTCATATTTCCAGCACTAAGAAACCCAGAGCTTGGTGGGCCTCCCCAGGTTAGGAGAATCACCATGGTTGACATTCTGATGAATGTGATTCTAGGCTTTGTAATGTGTGTGTGTTTGGGAGTCAGGGAGCAGGGAGGCAGTGGGTATACCATCTTAATAAATAAAAAATGCTTATCAATTTTTTTCACTTAATAATATACAATGGACATTGTCACATCAGTAGATACAGCTCTACATCATCATTGCCATACCTTTCATTTATCCTCAAAACTGAACGACAGTTAGCTCTTCAGTTATTTTTGGTCGGTAAGCATAGTGATTTGTACTGCGAGGCAGCACAGGTTGGCATTCAGGAGCACAGCCTCTGTAAGTGGAAGCCCAGTTCCTGCACTTCTCCACTTGCTGACAGTGTGTCCTTGGGCAAGCTACTCATCCTCCTCTGTACTGTTTCATCTGTAAAATGGAGATACTAGTAGTAAATTGCTCACCGGATTATTGTGAGGATTAATGAATTAATATTTATTATGCACTTAGGAAGGGGCCCTCCATGCAATACATATGTAATAAACAAGCAAACTTAAAAGATTAACATAAACACCCTTGTATCAATTCAGACTCTTTGCTATCAAGAGAAACCCAATATATACCCAAAAGAATAGAAATCATCCTATGATAAAGATACATGCACGTATATATTCATTGCAGCACTATTCACAATAGCAAAAACATTCAGTCAACCCAAATGCCCAGCAATAATAGACTGGATGAAGAAAATGTGGTACATATACACCATGGAATACTATACAGTCATATAAAGAAACTAGATCATGTCCTTTGCAGGGGCATGGATGGAGCTCAAAGCCATTATCCTTAGCAAACTAATGCAGGAACAGAAAACCAAGCACCACAGGTTCTCACTTATAAGTGGGAGCTGAACAATGAGAACACATGTTCAGAACACATGGACACAGGGAGGGGAACAACACACTGGGGCCTGTTGTTGGGGGCAGGGGAAGGGAGAGCATCAGGATAAATAGCTAATGCATGCAGGGCTTAATACCTTGGTGATGGGTTGATAGGTGGAGCAAACCACCATGGCATACATTTACCTATGAAACAAACCTGCACGTCCTGCACATGTATCCCAGAGCTTGAAATTAAATTAAATTTAGGAAAAAAGAAAAGAATCCATTGTGATAGAATCCAATCACAAAAGACCACATAATTTATTATTCCATTTATGTGAAATGTTTAGAATAGGTAAATCCATAGAGACAGAAGGTAGATTGACTGGTGGTTGCCTAATGCTAGGAGGTTGAGGGGAAATGGGTATGTGGCTTCTTTTTACAGTGACAAAAATGTTCTGAAATTGATCGTGGTGACGGTTAAAAAGCCCTGTGAACATACTATATGACTTTGAATTGTACTATTTAAATGGGTAAATTATATGGTGTGTTAATTGTATCTCAATAAAGCTGTTAAAAAAATAAAAACATTTAAAAAAGAGAGACCCAATTTA